TTGTTTTGCAAGTGTCTAAATTCTCACTCTATTTTAAAAAGTGGTTTTCACCTGGGGGCAATTTTGCCTCTCAGTAGACATTTAGACTAGGGGTCCCCAAGCCCTGGGCCATGGACTGGTACCAGTCAGTGGCCTGTTAGGAACCAGGCCGCACAGCAGGAGGTGAGCTTAGGTGATCTAGTATAGCCTTGTGTATTTGCAGCCACTTCCCAGCACTAGAATCACCATGTCAGCTTCACCTCAGATCATCAGGCATTAGATTCTCACAGGAGCACTGGTCCCTGGTGCCAAAAAAGGTTGGGGATCACTGTTTTAGGCTGTCATTTTTGATTGTCATGACTGGGAGTTGATACTGGCATCTATCTAGTGGACTGAGAACAGAGATGCTACTAAAGAACCTACAATGCACGGGAGAGCTTCCCACAGCAAAGAATTATCCAATCCCAAATGTGAATAGGGTTGACAAATCCTGTTTTAGAGAGACCAAACCAGGAAATTATAAGTGAGTTATTATGGGTATGATTTTTGCAGTGATAGCATGCAGAATTCTAATTAGTTGAAACATTCAAAGGAAAGGTTTTGTCTTTTGCATTACTTAAAATTAAATTCAGCTGCAAGTAATAGACTCAAAATAACAGTGCACAGTGCTGCCACACTAGGATGTGGCCTTTGTATTCCTGGTCTATAAAGTTAATGCCTCATGCTCCCAACTGTAGGATAGGGGAATGGACAAAGAAGAATAAAACTAAGAGGAAGTAGAGGACAGGTACCAGCTTTCTTTTAAAGGGGGTTTCCAGAAGCTACTGCACAACAATTCCACTTATATCCCATTGGCCTGACCTTAATTATATGATCATAACTAGTATTACAAGTAGCCATATGCCTTGTCATTGTCTTACATCAAAAGATTTCCATTTTGTTTTCATTTATATGTTTTAAGATAATATTTAGGGTATGTATTGTTTTTTGTTATTGTTTCCTTGCTTTAATTGAATTTTTAAGCTAAACGACTAGCTACCTCTTGTCCCAATCTCATTGGATAAGAGGGCATCTAGAAGGCATCTCTTGAGTGAGCCTAGGGCAGTGGGAACATATCGTGCTCCTGAACGAAGTGTAGAGTGTGCTGAACAGAGGATGGAAAAGGTCAACAAAACCTCTTTTAGTTCAGGGTTTGGCCCACAGCCAGCCCTGCTTAGGCCTTTATGAAACCTGATAATATTAATAGAAAGGTGTACTTCATTTATTCAGAGGGCTAAAACAGGGTGACTTCTTTTACTCTGATGTGAGGAAAGGTGATCACCTTTACTAAAAAAACAAATTATATATATACCTATATCGCAGAAATATTGCAGGCCATGTATTTAACCTTTTGTTAGAGCGAGACCTTGCACTCCACGGTCTGATCACTGTGACAAGTGCTATTCCTGGCCCTGCTGGAGACCCGTGACTGTGAGCAAGACATGTCACCTCTCTGGCCTCAATTCTCTTGAATCAGATGCTTGAGTTTCATACCAATTTCTTACAGCTGCCATAATAAAGTATCACAAACTGGGGTGGCTTAAACAACAGAAATTAATTGTCTTGGAATTCTTGAGGCCAGAAATCCAAAATCAAGGTGTTGGCAGGGTTAGTTCTTTCTGAGGGTTATGAAGGAGAATCTGTTCCATGCCTCCGTCCTAGTATCTGGTAGCCTCAGACATTCCTTGGCTTATAAGTGGGGTTCTCTCTGTGTTGTCACATGATTTCCCTTAGTGTATGACACTGCCCAAGTTTTCCCTTTTTATTGGGACACCAGTTACATTGAATTAGGGTTCACTCTAATAACCTCATTTTAACTTGATTACCTATATAAAGACCCTATATCCAAATAAGGTCACATTCTGAGGTGCTGGTGGTAAGGACTTCAACATATCTTTTGGGATGGACACAAGTAAACCCATAGGTACCCCTAAAATCCAGTTATGAACCTGCTGCTTTCTTTAGTGCTGGGGGTTAAATGCCAGTATCTGAAAAATCCAGACTAAAAGATTCAATTCCTGAGTGTGTCTCAACATTATGTCAAGGGACTGAGATAGAATGTAATAGCACATCCACATGGAGATTGTAGTGAGTGCAAATTATGAAGCTAGAGGACAGTAAGGTAGGTATGGTGGCATGTCTTGGACTTTCATTTAAAAATCAGCACACTGAACCTTCTTTAGAGATTCTTTTCTTACGTAGTAGGTATCAAACCATTGCTTCAACATTGCATCTGATTTTTTCATTAGAAAAATCTTTTTTTCTTTTTTTTGGAAAGTAGAAATATTTTTGTAGGATGTTTCTAGGAAATCTAGGGAGACATGGGACTTTGTACTCCCCTCCACTATTTTGTGATAAGAATATCTCAAGTTATTCTCTAATTTCTGTCTTCCTTTCTTTTTTCTAGCCAAACTGCGATCAGTACAGATTACCAGGATGCCCCAGAGACTTTAACCCTGTGTGTGGAAGTGACATGTCCACTTATCCCAACGAATGTACTTTGTGCATGAAAATCAGGTAACATAATTTAAAGTATAGAATAGACAAGTTTTTATTCTTTTTTTTTTTGAATTTTCATTATTTATAATATAGTGCCTCTTTTCTTGGAAATAAAGATGAAATATGACATAGTTCTGTTTTCAGACTGACATTTAAGAAGACACAGAATTCCTCAGTGCATTTTCCAAGTCAAAGTTAGAGAATGACGTGTGCAACTGTAGACCAGATAATCAAACTATGTTACTATCCATGGATTAAGAGAAATTAAGAAATATTTAAACTTTATGGAATATTAAATGTTCTTTTAAACTCAGAAGGCATGTGTAGGTGACCTGCACACCCTGCAGTACTAGTCGGGAAATAGGTCTTAATGACTGTACCGAAAGAATGCTAAGTAATTAGTGTTTTATACCTGGTGCCCTTCATGTAACACACCTGACCATGAGATCGTGACTCCTCTAGGTATGCTGCTTTGTATTTCAGGGGTCCATTCTCTGACTTCAATCAACCCTGAGTTACCTAGGTCTTCTCAGAATGATTTTTTGGGGTTAGTGACCTGTGCCCTTGGGTTAGAGAAAAAATGACCGAGTTGTGACTCATTGATTTAGCTTTAAAAAATGATTATGCAAATGTCACCCTAGACAGAATCTAATGTACAATGACATGGGTCTTTTTAATACAATTGTGGGACAGTGTCAGTATGGTAAATAATAAAAATGTTTTTGTTTTTATGGTTGTTCAATTTGCAGGGAAGATAGTCATGACATTAAAATAATCCGAAGCGGACCGTGCTGATGGAGCGGTTTACGAAAGAGAAATTGGAGAAACCACCATCAACTACACACTAGATGAATTTCATTTTCCCTTTTTCTCTTCTGTTATGTTTCTTTGCATGAGATTTGTTAACCCACATTTTCTGAGAGGAGGTGTGGAAGAAAGCCATGTACAGTGACTAATAATTAAAACAGAAATAAAGAAAAAAAAAACTTGTTTTTTTGGCTTTTGTCCCTTTAGTTAAGCTTATTGCCCTGATGACTTGTGCATTGCTTTATTGAGTTGGAATAAAATCAGCATTGTGTTCAATTATGGCTGTTCTCTGGTGAATATCTGTTCTCACTCTGCAACCTCTGGGTGGCTCTTCTCCTTTCAGGCAAGAGTGAATTTCACTCTGAGAGAAGTAGAGTCATCGTTGAGAGCCAAGATTTATTCTAATTCCCCATTTCCCTGAATCTTGGAGAATTCTGTGTAACTGGTACAGTGCTTTGCACATGGCGAGTAACTGTGAAATATTTGGAGCTGACTTTAGGCCAAGCTGGTAAAGTCAAATAATTCAGTCAGGTTAAAAATATTCAGTAGATTCAATATCTCCTTTCAACACAGTTTTCCTTCTGGTTAACTTAGGAACTTGGCATCTTCTTCCTTTAAGAGCAGTGTTTCTCAACCCTAAGGGACATTTGGCAATATGTCTGGAGGCATTTTTGTGTCACAGCTGGAGGATGGGTGCTTCTGATATCTAGTGGCGAGAGGCCTGGGATGTGGCCGTGCACCCTATGGTGCATAGGCCAGCTCAGACAAAGAATTTTTCAGTCTAAAATGTCAGTAGTGCTGAGGTTGAGATACCCCATTTTAGAGTTTGATACAACATAAAGAATAAAAGCGACTATTTTAATTTAAAATAACATTTTCCAGGTAGAGGATTTTGAGTCAAGTCCTGGGTTTAACTGCACTCTAATACAGGAAACCGTGAGACATGAGGTAAGAAGCGGTCGATAAGTGTGCAGTGGAAGGAATATGGCTTTTTGGGGTCACCTAAACCTGAATTTGAATTCTGATTCCAATACTTATTTGAGCTTCAGTTTTCTTCTCTGGATAATGGGGATAATGCTCAACTCATGGAGCTGTTGTGAGGAAACTGCTTAGCACTGTGCTTGGCACATAAAAACCGCTGAAATAGTAGCTACTGTTACTTCAAGCACCTGTCTTAGAAAGAATTAGAGGCCGATGGAGGACAATTTGCTCAAGGTTATAAAACACATTTTTTTTTTTTTTTCATGCTATGCTCTCTTTAAGTACAAGACTCTTCCAATCATGTCACCTAGAGATTATTTGACCCACTGCTCTGTCTGGCCACCAGTCTCTTCTCTCTCTTCAGCAATGGTGAGGCTGATAATCTTTCCACAAGGAAGAGAAATCCATGGCTTATTGCCTTTGTCAATAACAAAAATATTGGAGAGCTAGGTGGCAAAGCTGTTGTAACTGGCATCTTTAACATGAACTACATCAAAAGGACCAGGGAGTCTCTCTGTTAATGGTCACACCAATTCTTCCTCAGCACATCCAGTTAATGTAGGGAGGAGGCAAAGGAATTAAAATATTAATCAAGCCACAGACTGCAATATGCTGATCAGCCCTGCAGCCAGGCCAAGAGGACACCTTCAGAAAAAAGGGAATATTTCTGCTGGGATTGCTAATAACCCATTCTCCATACCTGTGAAGGGGAAACGAACCAAGAGTCATTCCCAAAAACCATGGGCAACCTATGGATTAAAGGCTAGGAACTGCCAGCAGGCCTTTCACTCTACATATTCTTACCTTTTCACATTACATACCCTTCCCCTTCATCACTGTATGTCCATAACAAAGGAAATGGGTTCATCAAGACTTTTAAACAATAACTCACCGAAACGAAAGAATGATATATAAACTGAATTCCCTGAACACCCGGCTCCCTACTCGCTGTCTTTCCAAGTCTCTTGTGGTCATTCTCAGTGCCTTTACTTTGTCTCTCACTATCTCTTGCACTGTCCCTTTCACTCTCTGCCTCTGTGAGGAGACCACACTCTGTCTGTGGAGTTACCCCTTTTTAGTAAACTTTCCCTTTGACTCTAACTTTGGCGTGTGTGTTGAATTCTTTCTACACTCTCTGTCAAAGGACCCTCTTCTCTCGGTGCCGGGGTTGGTCTCCCCACCACCAACTCGGGGAAATTTGCCCTGTCTTGCATCATAGTCACCATACACAGGTTATCAGTGTCAAACTTGATGAAATCAGTAACTTTGCCAGTCTCCAAATCAATCTGAATGGTGTCATTCACCTAGATGAGGGGATCAGGGTAGTGGATGGTGCAAGCATCACAGGTCACCAGATGAGGGATTCCTTTTGGGCCCACAAAGATCTTTCTCACTTTGCACGACATGTACTTGGCCTCCTCAGGTGTAACACAATGAACAGCAAAGCAATCCTTGGTATCATATATCAGACGGAAATTCTCTCCCATCTTGTCAATGCTGATGACATCATAAAACTAGCAACATAGGTTGTATCAGTTAAGACTTTGCCATCAGTCCTAATAAACCACTGCATACAGATCTTTATTTCATCTCTAGATAGGGCATACTTCAGTCTGTTTCTCAGGAAAATGATTAAAGGCACACATTCTCTCAGCTTGTAGGGGACTGTGGATGGATGAGGAGCAAACACATTGGTTAGTTTACCTAGCATTTAATGCTTTGGAGCTGCTGCACACTGCAGATGCTTCTTGGGACTACACGCCATGGCTGTGCAAAGCACTGTAAAAGCTAGAACACATTTGAAACAGTCTGCACCAGAAGACTCCACATTCCCAGTCCTCTGCTCTTATATAGAAGACAGGCAATGAAGTGGGAAGCTGTATAACATAAACATACCACAAGTAATGTCCTGTAGTTATTTTTGGCCTAAAAGTTTTACAAAAGATTGCTTTGAATAATTAAAAGATACACAAGTGTATAAAAATAAAAAGTAAAAGTCTTGCCCATTCTGGCCTCCAGAGGTGACCAATATTAACCTTTTGGAACATAAGCTCCTTTTCTTTCTCCCTAAGTATAAAATCACACACACACACACACACACACACCCCTGTCCTATAAACCTGCTTTTCTCCTTATATTAAAAGTAACATGTAGTAATTATAATTTACCCAAAGTAAATAGTAGAAAGAATAGTCCAATAGTCTGCGGAGAGTTCTCGAATAGAAGCTCCCAGAGGATAGAGATCTTGTCCATCTTGCTTATCATGGCATCTTCAATACCTGGGACAATGCTTAACTCGGTGCATATTTGTTGACTGAAAGAATGCCTAGTAGGCCTCACAAAATAATGACAACAAAACCACTAACTCCCCTGAATTTCCTTCCTGCCCCAAAACATTTTAACTATGATGTGTCTTGCTGTGGGCCTCTTTGGGTTCCTGGTTTTTGGGGCTCTCTGAGCATCTTAGAATTTTATGTCTATTTCTTTCACCAGGTTAGGGAAGTTTTCCATCATTATTTCTTCAAATAGCTGTTCAACATTTTATTTTCCTTTTGATATGCCAATGAGATGGACATTTTTACCTTTAATAGTGTCCCATAGGTTCCTTAAATTATTATTATAGTCTTGGCTTCTTTTTTCTTGCCATTCTGATTGAATGTCCTTGGCTTTCCTACACTCTATATAGGTCACTTGATCCTCTTCTTTATTCACTTTGCTTATTCCTTTGTTTATTTCATTTAATGTACTTCTGAGATAATGTGTTCTTCGTTTCAGACTGGTTCCCTTTTATAATTTCTATTTCCATTTTTATGTTTCTTATGTCTCACTGAATTCATCTACCCTTACCAAAAGTTCATTGAGCAGCTTTATAACCAGTGTTTTGAACTCTGCATCTGTTAGATTGCTTGACTCTATTATTTCTGAATCTCTGTTCTGTTCTCTCATATGGTTTCTGCTTCTTTGTCTTCCCATTTTGGCTGCCTTTTGTGTCTGTTTCTACGTGCTAAGCAAAGCTTCTAAATCTCCTGGTCTTGTTAGTGTGGATTTGTGAAGTAGGTGGCTGTCCAGTGGCATAGTCCTGAGAGGGGTTCAGCTGCAGGCCAAATTTAGCCCAAGCCTCTGCCCCTCTGGGGCCACCTGTTAAGATTTAGCAAGCAATCCACAGATACTGAGCTTTCTAGCTGCCTCAAAAGGCCACACCAGAAACCGAAGCCAGCTGCCACAAGTGTGAGTCTAGGCTGCTCAGCAAAAATCACCTGACTCGCTGAGGATACACCTGGATGTGTCTTGGATGGGCCAGGAGTTGGAGAAGGCAGGGTATCAGGGAATCTTCTGGACAGAACGAGCTCTGTTATCCAGTGTGATGATGTCTTTGCTATGGCGGTGCTGAGTCTGTGCACTGGGAGCGGGGATAGCTCAACAGAGGAACAATAGATACCGCCAGCACTTCTGCAGGGGAGAGACTCACCATGGTCCTCACTCTGACAACTCAGTGTCACCCTGTAAATCCTTGTGTAGCCAAACTGGCGCTGGTGCTCAGAATGAGCAGGTCTGTCACTGCGGAACTCCGCTCGCAGACAAGGCCCCTTTAAGAGGTGTTTGCAGCTGCTGCTGCTGCAGCCTCCATCCCACTCAGCCACTTGGGCCGGGCAGCCCTGAATCCTGGCCCTGTCCTACCTCCTGCTGTTGCAGGGTGATTTCTTAGATTTCTTGCTAGTTGTATGTCTTGTTCATTTTGATCCCAGGCAATTTTTCCTTGCTATTTGCTCCTTGTTTCTGTCACAACTCTGATTTGTTTGCCAGAGGGATGAACAGAGCCTCTCACATCTATGCCTTTTTTCACCCTCCCCAGGAAGGGGAGGATGAAACAGTCTATCAGAGTGGAGGTGCTCAATTGAGATGATAAGAGAAACCACCCATCAGAACGATTAAAATTGTGAACCTGATACATGTACTTGTGACCCTGGCTGGCTTTCTGCATCCTCAGCCCTGCTGAGTTGTCTCTT